GAGAGAGAGAGAGAGAGAGAGAGAGAGAGAGAGAGAGAGAGAGAGAGAGAGACTAGCTGGACTAGTGCATCCTGTATTAATGTTTTAATATGACATATTAATTTCAACTTTAAGCAGAATGCTTTTAGTGGAGCTAACCTGCCAATACAGGTCATTGTGGAAAACCTAGCCACTCATTTTTACTCAATACTTTTACTCAATACTTTAGTAAATTTTATGTCAGAAATTTACTTTTGATACTTAAGTACAAAAAAAATCAGATGCTTTAAGACTTTTACTCAAGCAATATTCTTAGAGGAGACTAACTTTTACCAAAGTAATTTTATGATAGAATACTTGTAATTTTACTCAAGTATCACTTTGAGATACTTTATACAACACTGAAAAATACTCTTGAGATTTTTATCTGAGATGGCAGACCACACGCCAGTCAGATGCTGTACCCTCCCCAGAAATCTATGTTCAGCTACTAAGTCCTGGCACAGGGTTTTTAGACTTCTTCTGATTGCACTTTTGTCTACACTTTATTAAATAAAATACTCAATGAACACTATAGAACTGCGTAAAGAAACCTTACTTTTTAACTTTTTTTTTTAACGGGTGAGTCCCCATTAGTCTTTACCGGGGTAAACTCACTCATTAACATGGTAGCTGCTCAGTCTTGCTCAAGTGAATAAAAATATTAGTTAAAAAAACGAGGTGTGGAAGGATAGAAGATGAGACCACCTCAAATTTAGGAATGTGTGAGCAACTCTGGGGTGTCACAAATTTACCTTTTAGTGTTTTTAAAACTGAGCTTTTGTCTGTACAACATGTGCAACAGGTAAGATATATATATTTTTGTTGGCAACCCCATTTCAAATGATCTAAATTATGATTTGAAGTACATAAATTACCCAGCTGCAGCATTTAATTTTACAATCTTCCTTTGATAATGAATTTTGGCAAATCACTAAACAAAACTCTTTTCTTGCACAAGACATTTATAACTAATCATAAATATCTGTTTATTTCTTCCAGCCTGCTGTCCAGGTGCATTTTATAAGTATCGATTTCCACATGAGACAAAATTGCGTTGAGTCACCGTTTTAAGCATATGAGTAATGGTGCTAATGCTGATGACAACATCAAGTGTTGACAGTCACTTGGTAAGGCCAAAAAAAAAAAAAAAAATCAGATGAAAGGCCTGAACCCTGCAACAATAAACTCATTTGGTTTCCAAATGCAGTTTTTCAGCCACTCATGGAGGAGAGGAGGAAAAACCTGCGTCGTTCCAGCCAGCTTATGAGGGCTCTGTGAATATAGCAGCTTTTTAATTAAAGCTTGGATTGATATGCAGAACATTCTTTCTAATGGAAATCCCAAAAGGTGGTCCGCTTGTATGTGAGAGGCAGACAGCATCCTATTGGGGAGGGGGGGCTGTAATGCCCCGTGGCTTCCTGTGCAAGCCGTGCCGTGTGTGATCTTTAAATGATTTCTCTCTCTGCCTTTCAATGGCTCGAGTTCTGCTGGTCTGTCTGCAGGCCTTGCTGCCAGCTGAGTTGTGTCACAGAAATCAGGTTGGAGCCCAGATGTTTCCAGCTGCTCCATCAAACTCCATCATCAAACTGTCAGTCTTCAGAGGAAACCATTTATTCTGACTTCATGAACACAACACAGTGTGTGTGGTTAATGTGTTATACCTTACACATGACCAGGCTGAGATCTTTCTGTGTGATGTCATGTAAAATGACATTTAGTTAGTTTGATTTTATTTTCATTTCTGCTCACAAGATTTATTGTTATTATTATGTTAGTTTTAAAGAAAGCATGTTGTTTGGCTTCTTGGTAACACAGAATCTGTTTTTG